GGGGAAGAAAAAAATGTTTCTGTGGACAGACTGAAACCTCACTACTGCAGCAAAACTGACAGTGATCTTGCTGAAAATGAAAATGAAGCAGATGCTGTCATTCCAACGTCGAATCAAGCCCAAGCACATCACTGGGGATCAACAATGGACCCACCAAAGAGGACCTACGCACGGACCGTGACTTTCAAGGCTCCCGCCGAAAGCCACTCGGGGGGGAGTGGTTGTGGCGGTCCTGCCGCCTCGGTCGCGCTCCCAGCGACCAGAAGTCAAAACAAATCTACCAAAGCGCAAATCGTCGGAGCGGGAAACTCTCCCTCTCTCTACAATAAACGATCCCACACAAATTCAAATAATCCCGCCTTTCTGCACGCCATAGCTGTGGCGTGACTGTGCAGTATTATTATTATAATTAATAATATATTATAAAGTGTGACCTGACTAATTATAAGGAGAGACGCTAAGTTTTTTATGTAATAAATAAGTGAATAAATATTATCAAACACGAATTATTCTTGCAATATTATTATCATTATTAGTATATAGTGTAGTACACCTTAACAACTACAAAAAATAACCAGCTGTCGCCATCTAGCGGATTTTAAACCAACATTTTCCCGCTTCTCTCTGACATTTTGATGGTAACTACCATTTTGACGGTAACTGAGCAACAAAAAACATCTGGGTAAGTAAACACTTCATAATTTTCCATAAAATAATTACTAATTAATCAAATAAATAAACAAATTTATAATTATTAACTAATTCTGTCCCCAGCAGATCTCCGAAGCCAAAAAAAGAAAAATAAAAAGGGTTAAAAACTAAAGCACTGACAAAATGGCGTACAAGTTAACGCAAACGTTAAAAACAAAGAGCATAGTAAGGACAGTGCGTTTCAACGTCGACGGAGCTTATTGCATCGTTTGTAACAGTGACCGTAGGCTGTACTTGTTCAACCCTCACCGCAGCGCCCTGCTGAAGACTTACTGCGGACATGGCGGAGAAGTAATGGACGCGGACAGCTCCTGCGACAGCGGCCAGATAATTTCCGGAGGCTTGGATAAATCTGTGATTCTCTGGGACGTGGCAACGGCGAGTCCTCTGCGAAGGTTCCGAGGCCACGCGAGTGGGGTCGCTGCGGTCAAATTCAGCGAAGAGTCGACCTTGATAGTCTCCGGGGGCAGGGACAACTTGGTCCAGTTGTGGGACGTGCGCTCCAGGTCCCAGGACCCGGTGCAGACTCTCTCCGAGGCCAAGGACGCCATTTCGAGTGTCAGGATCTCCGACCATGAAATCCTGACCGCTTCCTTTGACGCTAGAATCAGGAGGTACGACGTTAGGGTTGGCCAGCTTGCTACAGACTGCCTTGGAGATGCTGTTACCTGCTCGTCCTTCACCAGAGATGGACAGTGCACCCTTAATAGCTGCGCTGATGGCGCCCTCAGGCTCCTTGATAAGGACTCCGGTGAATTACTGAACGAATTCAAGGGCCATCTGGCCAGCGACCTTTGTTTAGAGTCTTCTGTTGACTCCCAGGACACTAGGGTCTTGTCCGGCTCCGCAGATGGCGCTCTATGCATCTGGGACCTCGCTTCTGGGGAGCTAGTGGATAGGCTCAAAGGCGATTCAAGGTTTCCTGTTGTTTCTGTTAGTGTTCATCCGACGGAAAATTGTATTTTGGTTAGCAATGGCAGCAATGTTTTTATGTGGGTGTATGAAGAATAATAAAGAATTTTTTGAAAGGAATTTTAGGAGTTTTTTATTTTTTATAGTTTTTATGGATAGGCAGGATAAAAGT